AATCAGATATGAGTCCTAGGATTGAATTAGAAGGTGAATGGCATTGGGTGACAAAGAAGCTGAGGGGAAAGCAAGGGGTAATGGGAACAGCAAGTTCAAAGCAAGAAAATTAGAGAAAACATGGTGCTTCGCACTAATTTAGATTCATAAGTTTACGCAATACTTATTTCCTCTAAGTGTTCTAGAAATACTGACTTAATGCTCAGAAGAACTTGGGGGAGCAGTTCACTTATCAGAGGGGACATGTACACAGGAGGCTACCACTGGTGGGGGCAGAGTCAGGATCAGAACCCAGGCTGCCGGACTCCAGTGTATAAACTGTGCTGTTCCACAAGTCAAAACCAGCACTCCAAGGCAGGTGGAAAGGGCATGGGGCAAAAAGATAAGGCTGGAAAGGAAGCAGAGGTCATTATGAAGGCAACCTTGAGGCAACAGTTGTTTTCTGAGATCCCAGAAGCCACTAGATACTAGCTAAGCAACACAGTGACATGAGCGACTTGGCACCCTAGAAAAAGCACGGGCTAGATTTCAACTCCCTCCTCCCCTTCACTAGCCAGCCGAACTCTTTAAGTCTTTCTTTATCAGCCTGGCTTATTTGACAAAACTGTCCTGCAGTAGAGGGATAAAGAATGTGTAAGTTCTATATAAATGCCAGGTGTTCTCATAAGTCCCTGTTAAGCTGGCTTTCAAGGCAGATCCATGTCTAGGATATCAGTGTCTCTGCTCCACCCACTGCATCAGGAAACAACTCCACAATGAATTGGGTTTTAATCATATCAGCTATTTCCATCTGACTGGGAAACACTTTACTTGGCGGTTCGATCTTCAACAACAAATACCAATGAGCTTCCTTAATCCTTTCGGGGAACTGCTCCACCAAACTGAATGCATTGATAACAAGGTCTTTTTACTTACAGAGGTGACTTATATACTAATTTTAGTAGTGTACTGATGTCTTACTATTTGTACCCCCTTGCCGGTGAGATGATAGGCTGTCTTCTCCAGAACCAACCAGAAGGTGGCCATTGTGATATTATTTTCTTAGCCCATATTAGAATTAGCGTCTGGGAGTCATTGTCTTGTGGAAGATCTGTTTCATGTGATTCTCACTGCTTTCTGAACCAGTATGTTTGGCTTTGGATAACTGTCAAGCAGATTGTTATTAACAAAATACCTAGAAAAAGAACACGTAATTTGTCTATATTTTGAGTATGTAGAATGCATATTCATCTCAACTTGTGCTTTTAAAACTTTTTCCTTGCAATTTCCCATCCAGTGGTTGCTGTCTCCTATCACCTGTCTGTCTTAGAATTCTTACCCAGAAGACAGCAGGACCAATTTTCTATTTCCTTGCCTTCTGTCCTGTGGTAAGCAGACTCTGAGATGGTATTTACAGTCCCAACTGATACTTTTGAGTAATCAATCTTCCCCTCTTGAGTGGGGACAGGGCCTGTGATTTACCTTTGATAGTATGTTAGCTTTCTGTCACTATGACAAATATCTCAGCTTAAAAAGTATAAGGATCAAATTCAAGAAGTGCAGAGTCATGGGCTAGCACACTTTTAGTCACAACCACTGCCTAAACCCCAGTGCCAGCAAGTATGTCATTATTGCAACTATTAAATTAGATGCAGAAATGTCCCTAAGTTTAAAATTGACCCAGGGTCCAAGTAAAATATTACTGGGCCTATGACCAGGTGCATATTTGCATAAATGTCCCCCGGAGGTCCATACATTTTTAAAGACCTGGCCTCCAGCCTGAAGCATTATTGGCAAGGGTGGAACTTTTAAGAGGTAGGGCCTGGTGGAAGGAAACTGTATAACTGGGGGTGGGAGGTAGGGGAAGCATCTGAAGTGGATTCTTGGACCTGGCCTTTCTCTTTCCTTCTGATTTGCCAGAGGATGAGCAGCTTCTTCTACCATGGCCTCCCCTGATGAGGTGCTGCCTCACTGCAGTTCCAAAAGCAATGTAGCCAATTTACCTTGAACTGAAACCTCCCGAATTGTGAGCTGAAATAAATGTCTATTTAAGTTGAAAAAAAAAAAGTATAAGGATTATAGACATACACAGGCACCAAGGATCCGAGTGCAAACAATTATGACTAGTAATAATCAGATACATACAGATTAGAGACGCATGCACCAACATCTCAGTGTTAGTAGCAAAAACAATGAGTCTTTCTGTAAGAAACAGTATATTTTAGAATGAAATGGAGATCTCTTTTGAGGGTTAAAAACTCATCAATTTTATGTCTTACAGAGCTCATACTGAGTTCAATATTATGTAACTACATTGATTCAACGGCAAACCTAGAAATTGTATAGCCACTTTTGAAGGAACTGTGTCTTTGCTCTGGAAACTGTTATTGGGCGCATTAAAGCTATAATGATATGCTTCTTCTTAAAAAAATAAAAAATAATATTAAAAAAAACAGTGTAAGGATTTGTCAAGTGTGGTAGTGCCCCCCTTTAATCCCAGCACTCAGGAGGCAGAGGCAGGTGGATTTCTGTGAGACTGAGGCAACCCTGGGATGGTCTACAGAGTGAGACCTTGTCTAAGAAACAGAAACAACAACGAGACAACAACAAAAGGTAGAAGGATTTATTTTGACTCATAGTCTCAGAGGTTTCAATCCGTGGTCGTTTGGCCCTGTTGCTTTGGGTCTGTAGTGGCACAGTACATTGTGGTGAAAGCATGTGGCAAAGGAGGCCTGCCAACCACACAGCAGCCAGAAATCAAGAGACAGGAAGGAGCCATGGTCCCAGTGTTCCCCAAAGACCCGATTTCCTAAAGGTCCCACCACCTTCCAGTAGTACCATCAGTTGAGAATCAAGCCTTTAACACATAGGCTTTGGGGGGGCATTCCTTGCCCAAACCATAATAGATAGGACAAAGGCATGGGATGTCAATACCATGGTTGCATTACATAGGCCTGCAGTGTCTCTCTTCCCAGGCTTTTACTATTCTTTTTTTTTTTTTTAAACATATCAGAGAGGGCACTTTAACAAACAACAGATGGTAGCCTCTAGTTGCTATCCATCAAGAAACTAAGGTCTCTGTCTAGCAAAGCAGAAAGAACTGAGTTCTGTCAACAAGCATATGAACTTGGAAGCAGATCTTTGTCCAACTGAGCCTTGAGATGGGACTATGACCTTGGTTGGTAAACAGTACAGCTTTCTGGTGAAAACTGAGTCTTGAGTAAATAAGCCCAAACTTGGCCCATTAGAAGTCATGAAATGATAAGCACGTGTTGTATTAGGTTGCTAAACTTGTACTATTGATGCACAGCAATAAATAGCATATTCTTTTTTGGTTTCTAGTTATATTGTCTATCTAGCTCCAGCAGTGTCCTTAACTTCCATCATCTCTTAAATCCCCAAAGTCTTCCCCAGGCTTACCTCTCCCTCATACTCTGGAAATGTCAAAAAGAAACTCCTCAATTTTATTCCTTTTCTGGCCAAACCATTGGCCTGAACCCCTGTTGATGGCAGGAATTCTGAAATGTAGCAGTTGAGCCATGAGCTTAACATCTTGTGTCTGTACTGTCACTCCTGTGGCAGCCCTCCAGATGTCACTGGGTCTCAGGCCATTTAGGCCCTCTGTCCCTCATGGTGAAATCTTTGGTGTCTGGTCCCCAGGGGACAATAATCTGGCCTAAAAGTCACTTGGGGGCTGAAGTCTTCTAAAAAATTCTGCTCTGGAATGGAAAGCAATGCCAATTTCCACAGGAGTCGGTTTTCTTTAGTTTGCTTTCTTTTCTTAAAACTAGTTCTTCTACAAATAAGGCATTAAAAAAAAGGAAAATCCTAGCTTATCTCTGAAACCCCCTTAAGTCCCACTCTGCAAACTGGACCTTCCTTAGCTTTGCTGGAAGCCTCATAATTGGTTTGGTCATGTTCCTCTAGACTCTTACCTATATATTCGTTTATATAAATGCCCATCTGTGGGAAAATATATGTATGCTCTTAAATACAAGTATACTCTTAAATCATGATGACATGATGTACATGCTTATCTGTAAACTAATTTCAGAATTCAACAATGGGATCCTTCCTTGTTAGCTCATATGGTTCATTTTCACTGTATGCAAGCACCTGGGTGCACATTGTGAGTGGGCATATATGCATGTGTGTGCTAATGTGGGTGTGGAAGCCAGAGGACAACTTCAGGATGCCAGCCGCCTTTTGTTTTTGAGACAGAGTCTCTGACTGACCTGGTACTTGATTCGGTTAGGCTGTCTGGCCACCGAGTCCCAGCAATCTGCCTATCTCTGCCTCCTTAAACTGGGATTACAAGGACAAGCCACCACACCCAACTTTCATTTTCATTCTTTAACGGCAATATAATATTCCACAGTACTGAAGGGCTTTTACAAGGTATCTACTTATTATACAATGCCACAATGAACAATAGCAGTTACTTTGGGCAGTATATACATTTTGGGGTAACCTTGTATAGGAAGAAATGCTGGGCCATAGGATATGATTTGAATTTTAAGACTGACAAATTATCCCAGGTACCTGTATCAATTTACAATTTCACCTCACATTACATGGTATGAAGTACAGGGTTCATTATCTAATTTTTAATCTGTAAGCAATTGTTCTAACTCTATTGATCTTTACAAGGGTACAGGCCTTTAATCCCAGCACTTGGGAGGCAGAGACAGGCGGATCTCTGTGAGTTCGAGGCCAGCCTGGTCTACATAGTGAGTTCCAGGACAGCTGGGGCTACAGGGAGACCCTGTCTCAAAAAAAGACAAAGAAAACAAAACAAAACAAACAAACAAAAACCCCAAAAAACCCCTGTCCTCTCTACCTGGGCAATACCTGAATTTCTAGCACCAGCTCAGAAGGCTTGGGGATGAACTCCCAGCTCTTGAAGTAAGCTGAGGAATAAGGAATGTGAATGCTGTGATTGGGTTCTATCTTGGTCATTCTTGACATATCTTTACCCTCCTTCTGCCTTTACCCCTAAAACAAATCCACTTAGACATCAGTTAACATAAGTGTCGTTTATTAGAAAGAGCAGAAAAGTCAGAATGCAGGCCCCTGGGGACAAGATAGAACAAAACAAAACAGTGCAAGTGTCTGTGGCTCAGCATATACACTTATTGCCCCACTTGGCCATCCTGTTATTGACAGGCATCTTCAAGAAGTGGTCAGACTGCAGGAATGCAGCGATTTTCTCCAAAGCCTGAAGGAAAATGATACCAAGTGTTACTAGGATCCTAGCCCAGCCCAGCAGACCCATAACAAAACAGCATCATTCCTATGTTGCCTGGCTCCATCTATTTTAGACATCGCTTTTAGGGTGTAGAAGCTAGGCCTTTCCTAAGATGTAAAAGCCACTGATCCCTTTAGGTAAAAGCTGGTGTTTGACAAGCATCTACCACAATGGAGCCCTGTGGGGACTAGGAGAGCCTATGAATATTTCTATAAGAGGAAGAGACAGCGAGCATCACCTCAAAGCGGCACATGAAAGCCTTCAGATTTGGGAACTCATCCAGGCACTTGGGCTCAAACATACGGTTCTGGTCCAAGACATCGTAGGTGAGAAAGTCCACAAAGGTGAGCTAGAAACAGGACAATGAGATGGTCAGGTCTGTGGAGTTCACCAGTACCTGCAGAGATAGACAGGTATCGCCTCCTTCTCCCTTCTTCCTACCTTTTCCCCTGCAAACCATGAGAATTTCCCCAGGAACAATGAGAATTGTTTCAGTTGTGCAGGGAGTTGTTCCAAGTACTGAGGCTTCAGGCTTTCCTAAGAGGGAAAAAGAAAAACAAGATCAGCTGTTGTTAGATGGGTGAGATGGCTCAGTAGGTAAGGAGCTTGCTGTATAAGCCCGATGACTGAGATTCAATCCCCTAGCTCTTTTTCTTGATACTCAACACAGTTGATTCTGGGTTAGGAAACTTACATGGTCAGGGTTATAGCAGAGTCGCGCCAGCTGCATGCGGAAATCCATTATCTGGTTCTCCATGATGTCCACACGTATCTTTTCTTCTTCAGTGTCACCACCTGTAGGCCAGATGACAGCAAATCACCCTTGGGATTATTTACCTCCAGGTGAGCAAACAGCCTGGTCTCTCCTATTCTTAACCTACTCACACATGTTGTGCTTGCGAGCGATGTAGCGCAAGATGGCATTGCTCTGGGTGAGCTTGTTCTTCCCATCCATAAGGTAGGGCAGCTGGAGGGAAAGACAAGTCAATTGCTAAATCCAGCGCTCTCTTGACTCACCTCTCTTGGGAAAGAGGAGACTCATAAGGCAGTGAACAAGACAGAGTAGAAGCTAGGAGAAAGAAAACAGAAGGCAGCAATGGGTGCTTAAATCTGTGTCAGTGTGCATGTATGTGTGCCATGGAGCCTTTCTCAGAATGCTTTTTAAAATCAAACTGCATATAGTCCTCTATTTTAAAGCAGAATTGTGATAGTATGTGCTCATGGATACATTAAATATGAAGCAGGTATACAGACTAATTGCAAAGTAGTGATGAATGGGACGTTTAAGATACTGCAATGCATTCAGAATGTGAAAATACCTAATTTTTATTGACAGAGTCACAGACCTGGCTAGTAACATGTCATATTGCCTGTCTTCCTTTTGATGGTGGTTACTGGGAATTCAAATGTATACTCTGTGGAGTTTGTTGAGTGAAACACCATTAAAATTCTCAATATTTCATGTCAAGTTAGCTCCTACCAATCCTCCCAAACCAGACAGGAAAGAAACAAAAACAGATATACTCGAAGACTTCCCCTTCTGTCAGTTCCTCTCCTAAAGCCACCTACATTAGGAAAATCCAGATCCAGTTTGAATTTCACATCCAGCCATTGGCTTCGATCATAGTCCGGAGCTGTAAGAGAGGTGTGATCCAGCCTCCTTAAAACCTACCTGACTTCAAGATCCAAAGAAATGACTTAGACCTGATACTTCAAGTTCCCAGCTCCCCAAAACTTAACCCCTGAGTATCTGCAGCCCATTAGGTAAGACAGGCTTGGACAGCAAGGGGAAACCTAAGGATGGATTGGTCCACCTCCTAGCGGATGTCCCTCATGACCTTGGTGTGAGGTTTCCCTCTGGGTGAAAAACAACTAGAGGGCCACCCTGGCCTAGTGGGGAGGGGCACTGGCACTCACAGAAACCTCACCTTCCCCACAAGTGTACCGTTTCTCCTCATAGCTGGTATCCGTGAACTCCAGGAGCATGCGGATGGCGTGAGCCAGCTATGGAGGGAGGGAGGGGAGACAAGCCCGAGTCAGCTTGCCTGTGCAGATCCCACCTCCCTACCCCTGCCAGCCAACGTCCCCTGCCCGACGCTGCCAAGCCCCTGCACTCCGCCGGGATGTCGTTGGGCAGGCCCCCTCCGCCCATCCCCAGCAACGTGCGGCCCCTGGTCCTCCCCGCGGGGCCTGACGACACCAGAGCTGTGCGGAGGTCGGCCTAGGCCGTCGGCCCGCTGGGCTGGGAGGCGAGGAGGCCTCTCTGTCCCGCTACGGCTCCCCGGCCCGCGGCCCCCAGCCCCCTCCGCCTCTCTGCCCGAGCCCCAGGTCGGTGATGGGGCGGGTACTCACCCCGCGGATGTCCCAGTACCCCAGAACCATGGACGACTTATTGGACATGATGGCTGGGTCTGCGACCTTCCAGGAGTTGGAAACTGACTGCGAGCATCCGGCTTTATACCGGACGCAGTGGGCGGGGCCAACGCGACTGGACTGGCTCCTCCCTCAACACCCCCC